CCACCCAAAGTCATCCTTGATACCTCCTCTGCCTGTGTCCCATCTCTTGTATTAAATGCAGCTACTACTGCCCAGGTTTGTACTGGGGGAATAAACAGCAAACACAGAGACATGGTTTTTTGAACCACAGCTACCATTAATTTCCTCAGCCTCTCTGCTGATTCTCTCTAGTAATATAAAAGTGATGCCTGCTCTCTTGCTTTTTTTCTAAAAGTATGGCATGTGGACAAATGTCATATCCATAGAATTTTTAAATTATTTTGAGATGTTTTATAGAAATAAAAATGTATTACAGTTAAGAAATATTTTCCTGCCGAAACCGGTTTGGCTCAGTGGATAGAGCGTCGGCCTGCAGACTGAAGGGTCCCAGGTTCGATTCCGGTCAAGGGCATGTACCTGGATTGCGGGCACATCCCCGGTGGGAGGTGTGCAGGAGGCAGCTGATCGATGTTTCTCTCTCATCGATGTTTCTAACTCTCTATCTCTCTTCTTCTCTGTAAAAAATCAATAAAATATATTTTTTAAAAAAAGAAAGAAATATTTTCCCTTTTAATTTTTTATGTCTTTTTACACAAATTTATCTTTCAAAAAATTTGAGGTGATATTTATATCAGGAGGGCTGGTCCTCCTGATGAAATATCACTGTCTGCTCACTTTATAGAAACAGCTTCTAGCCTCTGAACCAATACCCTCACAAGCATTAGTTCATTTAAAATCTCAGCAACACACTTGATGCCCGAAAGTTGCCTCTTTCCTGGAGGACCAAGATGTGCCATTAGTGATAATCTCCTATTATAACTGAGAGGGTTCAACCGTGACATGGGTTTGAACTCAGGGTGCATATTTTTCCATATTAGAATATCCTTTTTCTAAAAAGAAGTGTTGGTAATTATAATTTCAGCAAATATTAGTTGAGCATTTACTAACTTTTCTAATGTTCTAGCATATGAGAGGCAATGATTGGAATTTTTCTGACTCCAAGTCTAGTGCTTTTTCCAGTTTTTACCATTTTTTTGTGACCCTGCAAAACAATATTGGCAGGCTCTCTTCTCTGCACACGGCTGTGCCAATTGTCTGCTGCACAAGAGCAGCCTATGCTCACCATACTGTGTGCCCTAATTAGTAAATATCGAGCATGTTGTCCCAGACAAACGAGATGTCCAGGATTATTCCCAATTTCTAATTATACCGAATGTTTTGCCTCTAAATGTTGAATGAGATGCCTTATAAAGAATTAGCAGTTATCATTAGCTTTCTTATTTATTTTTTTTAATATATTTTACTGATTTTTTACAGAGAGGAAGGGAGAGGGATAGAGAGTTAGAAACATCGATGAGAGAGAAACATCGATCAGCTGCCTCCTTCACACCCCCCACTGGGGATGTGCCCACAACCAAGGTACATGCCCTTGACCGGAATCGAACCTGGGACCTGTCAGTCCACAGGCCGATGCTCTATCCACTGGGCCAAACCGGTTACGGCAGCTTTCTTATTTAATGTGTTAGATAAACATTTCTTGTAAACAAGAGTAAGACAATTTGACACAGGAATCATCACTGAATGATTTGAAGGTAGCACCATGACTCTTTCTCTTCCCTTTTTCCTAGTTCCTTTTTGTTCTGTTTCCCCTGCCTGTGCTATGGGTGATGGAGGGAAGTGGAGGCAAACTCTAGGCATTGCTAGACTTTTCAACACTCATTCAAGAGGGTTAAGCAGACACAGCTAGAGGCCTATCTTGCTCAGAAGCTGGCAGTAGGTGACTCCCAGTGCAAACTTTCCATTCATTCCACAGTACACTGGGGAATGTAAAGTTAATCATAGCCTTGCCTATAGAATACCGATTTAAATTCAGTCACTATTTAGTTACTTCAACTATAGCCCTCCATGAAGAGTTAGAAACTGTCGCTACTATAATATTAATATATCCTGTCTTTTTTCTTTACACAAAACTAACCTCTACCTAGCTTGTCACCAGGGTCCTCCACCTGTGAACTATGTTTACAATACAAGAGCCCTAGCCAAGAAGCTTATGCTCAGGTTGGAATTGTTCTCAGGTATATTTGCAAGGCCTTTAATCAGTTAGCTGCTGGCTCAAGGTGATTCTTGCCCTATTCTCACCTCTCCTGAGGGGACATTTTATAGTGGTATTGCCCACATGGGTGTGTTCTTTGCACCCATTAGAAGAAACTGGTTTACTAATGTACTATTTACTAGTAGAACAACATTTTGATATTTTAAGATTAGCTTGTTGCCTCCTTTCCCAGGAAAAAAAGGAAGCTCAAGAACAATCTTTTAAAGAGTCTGGAATAACTTGGTTATTCCTGATGATTCTAGTATTATAATATAGATGGGCCCTTACAGAATTTATTTTTTTCCTATCAGTCTTCCATTTCTTTCTTCCTTTAGATTAAAAGTGCCACTTTCTACATACTTCATTCTTTGACTGGAGTTATTGGTTCTAATGCTCTCATCTGTTATCTGCATTTGGCCAATCAGGGGACAGGACAAAATCCAAATCTGATATTTGCTGTTGTATAAGTGCTGCATTGGGTAGAACACATTGGAGGTTGTAATAAAATGAGATCTAAAGATAATTGATGGACTCAACTTTCTATTCATATAACCTAAATTAATGTCCTTTACTTAGGAGGAATCATTTCAGATAATGTCTTGTAGCCTTCCTAAGTACATAATTGGTTTGACTCGGGTTCTGAAAACATGGTCATAACAAAGGACACTCCATATTCAAGTTACCAGTAAACACAGTTAATGAAATTGTTGGAAAATAAGAGTGTTGCTCAGTGGTTGAGCGTTGACCTACGAACCAGGAGATTGTGGTTTGATTCCCAGTCAGTGCATGCTGAGTTGTGGGCTCGATCCCCAGTGTGGGGCATGCAGGAGGCAATCAATGATTCTCTCATCATTGATGTTTCTAGCTCGCTCTATCTCTCTGAAATCAAGAAATACATTTTTAAAAAATAAGGGTATGCACTGCCCTTAAGGCAGCCCTGCACATCTCAGCAGTTAATGTTGGATCCTGAGGGGTGAGGTCATCAGGGATGATTTGACCTGAATACACCAAACATTCCACCTGACTTTCAGATATGCCAAGTATATTTTGGAGAAGAAAGCCTTTTATCTTTAACCAAGGAATATACTTCACTTAATTCAATTATATATATATAAAACAGGATGAAATACATTCCTTGAAACAAAGTCACTTCTCAGTTCTATCCACAAGAATTATGTTACCAGTGTACAATCCACCAACTTCCAGTGTGCCCCTGAGTCATGACTGGGATGTGTTCAAGATGGAACACATGATACAGTAGAATCTTTTCAGGAGGAGACAAGGTGATAATCTTGCTTTATAAGTAAGAAGGTATATCTGACTTGGTCTGGAAAAATTTACACCAAATAGTGAATGTATTAATTTAAGCAAAACAGAAAGAAGCTGTGAAAGATTAATTTGCTATTTTGGAGCTCTTTTCCATTTGTTTACTCAACTACTTGTATTTAAATTGCTCTTTCTGGAATCTCTCCCCATTGAGAATCTGATTGTATGGATGAGAGTGTATGTATGTATACATGTGATTCAACATGTTTCTACTGGGATATGTATCCTTTGGGGGGAAAAGTACATTATAAAACATACGTAATGATAGTGTTATTGGAAAATGTTTTCCAAATGATGGCATTCATCCTGCATGACACATCTATTTGCTTTTAATATTCGCAACATATTGCAGATATCAGATTGAGCCCCAACTCTAGTGTGTTAAGTATTTAATGCTAAGTGATACATTTTTTTCTTTTCTGATTTAAATACTCAAGGAACAGAAAAATGGTAACAGGAAATATATATTAGTACTTAATTATTCTTATTCAAATGCTTCTCCAGAGTGTCATGTTCACAGTAACAAGAGTATTAGTATAGAGTAAAAGTGATGTGTGTGACATGGACCCAACATCCACCATCATACGTGCAAATGGAGCCTTAGGAAACAATCATTGCTTGGAACCAGACACCTCAGCACCATTTCTAAATGTATGCGCTCCCTGGTTTATTTGGGCATGACCTAAGAAATTTGGTTTTGTTATTACTTGTATTCTAACTGTATCCCTAGAAAAGACAACTACTCAAATGTTGAATTTTTAAGTCTGGTTTTTCATTTCTTAAAAAATATATTTTTATTGATTTCAGAGAAAAAGTGAGAGGGAGAGAGAGATAGAAACATCAATGATGAGAGAGAATCATCGATTGGCTGCCTTCTTGCACACCTTACACTTGGGATTGAGCTTTCAACATGGGCATGTGTCCTGACCAGGAATCGAATTATGACCTCCTGGTTCATGGGTTGATGCTCAACCACTGAGCCATGCTGACCAGGCTGTTTTTTATGCCTAGAAAAACCTGTTCTCTCCTGACACAACCTCTTTGGCTTGAACTGAGGGCTATGGCGGGAAAATGAAAATACAAGATTATTAGCAGACAGTCCTCACAGAATGTATGCTGTAGTTTCTGGTACTCCACCTTGACTTCTTGGAAAAAGAAAACGTGCCTTTAGTTACCCGGTTTTGGAAACTTGGTGACACTGGCCCTTAAATCACCTCCACATCTTTTACTTGCTTATGGTTTTTCTTGACTCTTAATAAAAGGATATCAAGTTGAAAAAAGTCCAACATGCCCTGAATCCAGAATCTCCTGTGCTGTCTGGTTTTTAAACCAGTAGACTATTCTTTAGTAGTATTAAGATGTCCCTGTTCTGTGAGTAATTTTTCTTTGTAGGGGATATGTGCATTCCTCCTCTGGTCCTTGTTTCCGTCACACAACACTGCTATAAGACTATGCTCTGAGGTTGCACTTTAATAAACAGTATATAGTTTTTTAACAAAAGACATTGTGTGTTTTTTCTTCTGCCTTATAATCTGTTTTTAACTTTAATGTTCAAGTGAAATAAGTCTACAATGTGTAGACTTAAAAGATGAGATCAAGCTTGTTCAAATATGTCCAACTTGACATTTTTATTCAAGTATGTTACTGTAGAGATTTCTAATGGGTCACAGGCCTAAAACATCACCTTTAAAAATAGTGAGAAATAAATAACTTTTATCTTGTGCCTGTCTTCTCTAAGAACTCTAAGTGGTCACGACTCCATCTCCACCAGAGGCAGCTAACTGCTGTCCTGTATCAAGTTTTAACCCAGCGGTTCTCAACCTGTGGGTCGTAACCCCTTTGGCAGTTGAACGACCCTTTCACAGGGGTCGCCTAAGACCATTGGAAAACACATATATAATTACATTATGATTCATAACAGTAGCAAAATTACAGTTATGAAGTAGCAACGAAAATAATTTTATGGTTGGGGTCACAACATGAGGAACTGTATTAAAGGGTCGCGGCATTAGGAAGGTTGAGAACCACTGTAACCAGACACGCTTTGCAGTCATCCATTCAGTCCATCTCCTAGAGCAAGAAAGGAAAAACCAGAATTAGCCAGTATAATTTTTCCCCCACCAATATATTTAGTCATATTTCTAACTTTTTATTTTAAACTAGAGGCTTTTGTGCACTGGGCCTCTAGTATGCATATAAGATCATTGGTTAATCTCTTCCCACCTTCCTTCCTTCCCCCTCCCCTCTGAGATTCATCAGTCTGTTCCATGTTTCCATGCCTGTGGTTTCCGCTCCTGCATTGAGCGTCTGCGCCCTGGTGATCAGTGCGATCAGTGCACGTCATAGCGACTGGTTAGGCATATATATATATATATTAGAGGCCCGGTGCACAAAAATTTGTGCACTCGGGGGGGGGGGGTGTGTGTCCCTCAGCCTGGCCTGTGCCCTCTCGCAGTCTGGGACCCCTCGGGAGATAATGACCTGCTAGCTTAGGCCTGCTCCCGGGTGGCAGAGAGCAGGCCCAATCCCTAGGTGCAGCCCCTGATCGGGCTCAGAGCAGGGCCGATTGGGGAGTGGGGGCGCCTTCCCCTGTCATGCACAGAGCAGGGCAGATTGGGAGGTTGCAATGCCACCCTCAGTCATGCTCAGGGTAGGGCCGATTGGGGGGTTGGGGCACCACCCCCTGTCACACTCAAGGCAGGGTCGATGGGGAGGTTGCGGCACCACCCCGTCACGCACAGAGCAGGGCCCATCAGGGGGGTTGGGGCTCCATACCCCGTCACGCACAGAGCAGGGCCAATCAGGGGGTTAAGGAGCTCCCCCCTGTCATTCACAGAGTAAGGTCAATAGGGGAGTTGGGGCACCGCCCCGTCACAGAGCAGGGCGGATCAGGGGGTTGGGGTTGGGGTGCCGCACCCTGTCACACACAGAGCCACAGGGCTATCGGGGTTGGGGAGCTCCCCCCTATCAGGCACAGAGCACGGACGATCAGGGGGTTGGGGCGCCTTCCCGTCACGAACAGAGCAGGGTGGATAGGGAGGTTGTGGCCCCGCCCCCTGTCACACACAGAGCAGCAGGGCGATCAGGGGGTTTGGGCGCTGCCTCCTGTCACGCTGTTCCCGGTGCCGGGAGGCCTCTCGGCTCCGCTGATCCCGGTGCTGGGAGGCATATTACCCTTTTACTATATAGGATAGAGGCCTGGTGCACGGGTGGGGGCCGGCTGGTTTGCCCTGAAGGGTGTCCTGGATCAGGGTGAGGTCCCCACTGGGGTGCCTGGCCAGCATGGATAAGGTGATGATGGCTGTTTGCAGCTGGCCACACACCCTTCAGGGTGGGGGCCCCCAGTGGGGTGCCTGGCCAGTCTGGGTGAGGGGCTGAGGGCTGTTTTCAGGCTGGCGGGTGACTGAAGCTCCCAACCACTCCTTTTTTTCTTTTTTTTTTTTTATTCTGGGCCAGCTTTAGCTCTGAGGCTTGGCTCCAGCTCTTAGGCCTCGGCTGCTGAAAGCTGGTATCTGGTTTGTTTGGGTTCTATAATCGAAACACTGTTTCAACTCCAGCTCTGAGATCCCGGCTGGCTGAAAGCAGGTTTCTGGGGGTTTGTTTAGCTTCTATATTTGTAACAACGTTTCAAACTGCAAGCTCAGAGGCCGGCAAGGCAAGCGGGCAACGTTGGCTTCCTCCGTCACTGGAGCAAGCAAGCCTCATGTTCACTTTAAGATGCCTGGCTGCCGGCTGCCATCTTGGCTGGCACTTAATTTGCATATCGCCCTGATTAGCCAATGGGAAGGGTAGTGGATGTACGCTAATTACCATGTTTCTCTTTTATTAGATAGGATATAATATATATATCACTAATTTGAAGAGGGTCTGGATGCCTGAGTAATGCTTCTGACACATAAAATCCCAAATATTCACTAATATTTTCAAATTCAGAGAAAAGATATACCCATTGAACATCCAGTTGGCTCCATGAAACGGAAGCAGCAGACATTAAGGACTGTTTAGCCTTCTTGGGCAACCTCCTGAAGAACTTTGACTTAATATCCTGGTTATGGACAGATGTTTTCTGGGACAGGTTTTAGATAACCTCTCCTCCCTGCTTTTTGATCTCTCTGTTTGGTCTCTCTCCCCTTCACCTTTCTTAGTAAACATGTTTTCATTTGTTTTCTAAGCATGTTTTTAAAGAATTTAATTATACTTATTTTTGTGATAAAGTGAAGTTGACAGCAGATCTGGGGATGCTCTGCTTGGATCCCTCAGCCACTTTCTTTCATGCTCTAAGTGTCTATACCACCTATATCACACTATTACAATTCTATGGACAGTATGAAATAAGCCTTCACCCACTTACAGTAGCAATCTTAAAAAAAAATGAAGCTGCCCAGCCGGCATGGTTCAATGGTTGAGTGTCAACCTATGAACCAGGAGATCACAGTTCGATTCCTGGTCAGGGCACATGCCCAGGTTGCATGCTTGATCTCAAGTGGGGGGCATTCAGGAGGCAGCGGATCAATGATTCTCTCTCCTCATTGATGTTTCCCTCCCTCTCCCTTTCTCTCTGAAATAAATTTAAAAATATATATTTTTTAGAAAATGAAGCTGATAAAGCGCAAAAGGTTATTTTCATTGCCACCTCCTACTACGTAACGTTCTTTTTCATGAAAGCAAACCCAAGCCTTTTGCCTGAACAGGAAGGTTTATAACAGCCTTCTTTGTGGTTTGGTCATCAGAAGCAGAAGAAAGGGAGGAAAGTAGCAGAGGTCTCTGCTGGGTTTCCTGACCTTAAAGGGGAATGGATGTAGGGAGTAGGCAGACACCCAGAGGATTTAGTGAAATGCCAAGGAGCTGACGTCACTGGTTCTTACATTTCTGACTAAGTTTCTCACATAGGTGGGTAGGCTCTGATTAATAACATTCACTGTTGTGCGAAAGACATCATGGAGCAAGGATGGTGTGTGATCGGCCACCTTTTTGGCCAACAGCATGGTCAACATCAGCATGGTCTTCTCCTTCTCCATATCTTTAGGATAAGTGTGCATGACCTGCTCCAGGGCAGCAGCAAGGCACTCCCTTCTTTCCTGTATAGAGGTGAAAACAGAAGGCTACGTCACTAATATTCTTCCCTCTTAAATGAAAAGTAGTCCTCCAGTGGAAAGCATGAAGAAACATGCTCTCATTTTACAAGGAAGTATTTACTAAATAGCTAAGGTGGTTGGAAGAGAGAATGAGAAACAATTTAGTTTTGAGAGGAGATGGAAAGGGAAGACTGAGATTACTCCCTGGAGTGGGACACTCATTAACCAAACATGTGGTCACTGAGCATCTTGTGTGCACATTCAACACTGATGGAACTAAAGAAGCCAAGTTATTCCCTACCTCTGAAGCACTTCAAATCAAGAATTAGTTAACTACCCAAGATATCGCATGTCCAGTTACTGGTGCAGACCTCGCTAGAGGGAGGGAGGGAGGAGGGGCTGCATGTGATATTCCCACCTGGAACAGACACACATAGAGCATCAGACTTGAGAGAGCCTGCAGGCTCATTACTTTCATGGAGAATTAACATTGTGGGAGAGGTCCCAGGCAGAACATCACTGGATGCTTACAGATTCTGTGACAGCTGGCGAGACCATCATATGGGAAGAGACCACTAAAGAGGGGATAAGCCTTCTTGGAGGCAGGAGACCTAGCCTGGCTGAATCTTGGAGGATTAATACATTTCTATGTAGTGAGAGGTACTTGCATTTTTAGCTGGTAGTCAAAAAAATACCTTGGGGTGTTTCTCCCACTAAGTTTCGTTGTGTCTTAGACCTATATTTGTATCCCCCACAGTGCTTGGCAAATGATAGAAGCTCTGTAAGTATTAGTATGTGGATTACAACCATGAAGCCAAGAGTAGTAGGCTAACATGTTGCTTTTCTTGTCACACCTGGGTGACTTAAAGTTCTCTATTGGCATTTTTATTCAGCTCCCTAAAACTGAAGAAAATTATTTCTGGAAGAGTCATATACATTTTGTTCATCTTTTTAGAGGCTTTTATCCTGAAACTCTTTGACTCATTCCTAAATGTCAAATAACTTAACTCTTCTAAAAGACAATTAACCATGCTATAATTTCTATTTCCAATGCTTTTGTGGACAGTCATGAATGAATTACCTCCCTGAACCCTGGTTTGTCTGATAGCAGACAGAGGGCAGACCTTGTTGGTTAAACTGACAGTGCAAAAAGCCCTCACACTTCTCAATTAATCCAGAAAAGGCACCAAAGCGTTTCTCACTTACTTCCTCTGACAGGTCCCCATTCATAAACTGTATTGCCAGGTGATTCACCAGTCTTGGGGGGATGCTGCGGTCCATCCTGTCCCCTATATGGGCAAGTTGCCTGGCGATATTCTGGATGATTTCATCTTGACTCTCAGAATCTGAATGTTCAGGAAGGAGCAGAAAAGACAAAGCAGACTCAGACATTGGTCCCGTTCTAAACCCTCATCCCACTGCCCCCACCTTGGAGAAAGGAAGGAATTCTGCTTTAAAACAAAGCCAGCTCCCACTTCCACAGCACACCACGGCGGGTTGGGGGGGGGGGGAGAAGGGGGGAGTCCCCAGGGAATGGGCCTGACTGAGCAGAAGTGTGGCTGAAGAAGCAGACTTCGCCCTGAATACAGATTCAACATCTGCCCACAAAAACGATCAGTGATGCTGTGGCACCCATGACTATGGGCACCTGAGGCATGAACCTGGCAACAGCCTTAAGGCTGCTAGTTCAGTATCCCATCATTTAACAGGTTTTAGATTCAGAAGTTGTTAGGACAGAGGCTCTGCAGTCAGACCGAGTTAGAGCCCCACCTCTGCCAATCCCTGGTCACGAGACCTTGACACATCCTCTCCTACCTTCCTCACGGGGCAGCTATGGGGATCACTGCTTTCCCCTTTCCCCAGTCTTGTCTCACTCAGTAAAACCTCCATCTTCACTCAGACCTAGAAGGCTTTGTACAATCTGCCCAGCCTCTCTAACAGGAACTCTTCCCACTTCTCCAGCTACACTGGCCTCAGTAGAGAGCAGGCTTCTTCTTTAACTTCCTTGGGTCTACACAAATGCCACTCTGTCCAAGATCAAACACCACTTTCACTGCCACATGCCCTCTTCTACTCCCACCTTTACCTTCCTTGACACTCTCGACTGTTTCATACAGTTTATCTGTCTGTAGTCTTTGACTCACTTTCAGAATGTAAACTTCACAATGGCTCTGATTTTTTTCTACATTTTTTTTCTTCTTTAAATCTTTATTGTTGAGAGTATTATAGATTTCCTCCCCCACTTCCCCACCCCCAACCCCACCCCCGCCCCATGGCCTTCCTCCACATGGTTCCCAACCTGCTCCAGGCCTTCACTCTGCTACTCTCTGTGTCCATGGGTAAGATCTTTGGTTAATCTCTTCCTGCCTCTCCCCTCCCCTTCCCTCTGAGATTCATCAGTCTGTTCCATGCTTCCATGCTTCTGGTTCTATTTTAGTCACCAATTTATTTCATTCATAAGATTTCTTGCTTGTTTATTTTGATTTTTAGATTCAATTGTTGATATATATGTATTTGTTGCCATGTTATTGTTCATATTTTTTATCTCTTCTTCATAAACAATACCCTTCAACATTTCATGTAATGCTAGTTTGGTGATGATGAACTCCTTTAGATTTTTCTTGTTTGTGATGCTCTTTATCTGGCCTTTGCTGGGTAGACTATTCTTGGTTCTAGTCCCTTATTATTCATCACTTTGAATATTTCTTGCTACTCCCTTCTGGCCTGCAAAGTTTCTGTTGAGAAATCAGCTGACAGTCATATGAGCACTCCCTTGTAAGTAACTAACTGCTTTTCTCTTGCTGCTTTTAAGATTCTCTATCTTTTGCCCTTGGCATTTTAATTTGCTGTGTCTTGGTGTGTCTTGACTTCCTCTTGTTTGAGACTCTCTGTGCTTCCTGGACTTGTAAGTCCATTTCTTTCACCAGGTAGGGGAAGTTCTCTATCATTACTTCTTCAAATAGGTTTTAAATATCTTGCTCTCTCTGTTCCTTCTGGCACCGCCATGATGAGAATGTTGGTACAGCCCTACCTGGTTTAGCTCAGTGGATAGAGCGTTGGCCTGTGGACTGAAGGGTCCCAGGTTCGATTCCGGTCAAGGGAACATACTTGGGTTGCGGGCTCGATCCCCAGTAGGGGGGCGTGCAGGAGGCAGCCAATCAATGATTCCCTCTCATCATTTATGTTTCTATCTCTCTCCCTCTCCCTTCCTCTTTGAACTCAATAAAATATATTTAAAAAAAAGAATGTTGGTACACTTGAAGTTGTCCCAGAGGCTCCTTACACTAGCTTCATATTTTTGGATTCTTTTTTCTTTTTGCTCTTCTGATTGGATGTTTTATGCTTCCTCATATTCCATATCGTTGATTTGATCCTCAGACTCCTCTACTGTTGAATCCCTGTATATTATTCTTTATTTCAGTTAATGTATACTTAATTTCTGACTGGTCCTTTTTCATGTCTTTGACTTTCTCACTAAGATCCTTAAAAGTCTCATGAAGATCCTTGAGTAACCTTATAACCACAGATTTGAACCCGTATCCAAAATTTTGCTTTCTTCCATTTGTTTCATTGTGACATGTTTCTTTGTCTCCTCATTTTGGCTGTTTCTCTGTGTTTGTTTCTATGTATTACAGACAGCTGCTATGTCTCCTGGAGTTGGTAGAGTGGCTTGTGTAGCAGGTGTCCTATAGGGCCCAGTGGCTCTGCCTCCCCAGTAACCTGAGCTGGGCACTCTGGGTGTCCCCCTGTGTGGGCTCTGTGCACAATCTTGTTCTAGTTGAGTCTTGATTTCTGTTGGTGTCACTGGGAGGAATTGACCTCCAGGCCAGTTGGCTGTGAGGACCAGCTGTGACTACAGTGGGAAAGCTGCTGTGCAGGAAATACTCCTATGGAGCAGGACTTGCTTCAGTGGGGCTTTGGTGCTCACTGAATCTGCCCCTTGAATGTGTTGCTTGTGGACGTGTAGAGTTGAGGTCTGCTATGGTCTGAAACTGTCCACTAGGTGGAGGCCCTAGAACCAGTGCAAAGTCAGCCAATGCCTGAGGCCACCCCGCAGGAGCTATTTGTTTTGGGCTTGGAGGTGCCCAGGGGAGACCCAGCTGTGAAGCAAGGCAGGCTTATGTTAGTGTAGGGTCTTACACCCTTTATTGATAGGTTTGGGGCATGTTGCTCCAGCTGTAGCATGTTTGAGAGATTTTAGCAAAGTCTGAAGCCTAACAGGCCATTCATACACAAAAGCCACTGCAAACAGCTTGGGTAGGGCTGCAAATTGGATAGGGTGGGGTCTCAAGGAATCACCAGTGCAGAGGGGACAGTGTGGGACATGCTGATGGAAGCTCAGATATAGCTGCCAGTCAGCTCTGTGATGTGGGAGGTCCCAGCACAGAGACAATGACCGCTGCAAGTACCTCTGTCTGGGAAAAAGCTGCTCCTGAGTTCCTGCCCTGACGCCAGACAATCCAGTTCCTCCTCCTATGTGTTTGGGTCCCCCAGAGCCTCATCCTGGCACTGGTGCTCAGAGGAAGCAGGACCTTGTAAGTTCAGTTCATGCACCAGCCCTTTAAAAGGAACATCTGGGTTTCCAGCAGCCTTGGTGTCACTGAGCCCCAGTCCCCGCTTGTTTCTACAGCTGTAGTTATGGGGACTTCTAGTCCCAGCTCTGGAACCCTGCGGGTCTAGTGTGGGGCTGGGACCTCTTGCTTCTCCACAGGGATGATCTCTCTCTCTTTTTTTTTTAAAAAAAAAATATATTTTATTGATTTTTTACAGAGAGTAAGGGAGAGGGATAGAGAGTTAGAAACATCGATGAGAGAAACATCGACCAGCTGCCTCCTGCACACTCCCCACTGGGGATGTGCCCGGAACCAAGGCACATGCCCCTGACCGGAATCGAACCTGGGACCTTTCAGTCCGCAGGCCGACGCTCTATCCACTGAGCCAAACCGGTTTGGCAATGACCTCTAATCTGACAGACAAAAAAAAAACGGCCCACATGGGTACTGTTCCAGCCCGTTCTGCACCTCTGCCCCTCCTACCAGTCTCAGTGTGCTTTCTTCTTTACTTTTCTAGCTAGAGGACTTCCATTCAGCCAGCTTTCAGGTGGTTTTGAATGATGGTTGCTCTGTATTTTAGTTGTAATTTTGATGTGGTTGTAGGAGGCAGCGAGTACCGACATTTACCTATGCCGCCATTTTGGTTCTCTCAGGGCTCTGATTTTTTAATGTTTTGTTTATTGCCAAATATGCAGTACTGAGAACAATGCAAGGCACACAGAAGATGCTAAGTAAACAATTTTATGAATGAATGAATGAATGAATGAATGAGTAAATGAATGAACCCTGTACCTAGCTCCTAGTAAATTTTCAATAAATGCCAACTATTATTATTTCTCCAATTAAATCTTATACAGTGAAACTTCACTTCTTGAACTTAATTCGTTCCAGAAGGCTGTTCAAAAAGCAATTTGTTCAAAAACATCATTTTTCCCCATTAGAAATAATGTAAATTGAATTAATCCATTCCAAATCCCCAAATCATTCCCTTTTTTAACCTACTCAATTGCCTATGATCGATGTTTCCTTAGCATTTTCACACCCTTAGCAACATCAGCACTCTTGATGGCCTCTTTATGTTTTAAAATTGTGCTAATCATCGATTACAGTCTCTCCTCACTCCATTTTCACTGTCCTCCAGTCCACTCTCCACAGTGTACTTGGGCCAGCAAGGCACCTAGAGGTGAAGATGAGAGGGCATTAAGAGGAGTGAGTGCCTCCTTACATTTTGTGCCCTGGGTGTTTCATTTGCCTCACTGTGGCATTGACTGTGACACATGTAGTATCAATACGACATCACTTTCTTACTCAGAACTTGCCACATGCTCAACTCTGCTTAAGTGCTAAGTTACCATCCAGCCTTAAATCATCCTGAACTTCAATTATTCCCTTCAAATGCTCTAGCTCAGTGGTCAGCAAACTGTGGCTCGAGAGCCACATGCGGCTCTTTGGCCCCTTGAGTGTGGCTCTTCCACAAAATACCACGTGCGGGTGCACACATACAGTGCGATTGAAACTTCGTGGCCCATGTGCAGAAGTCGGTATTTTGTGGAAGAGCCACACTCAAGGGGCCAAGAGCCACATGTGGCTCGGGAGCTGCAGTTTGCCAACCACTGCTCTAGCTAAACTCAACTATTCACAGGACCTTTCCCAGGCTCTGGCCTTTTGATCTTCAAGGTTTTGCTTAAGCTATTGCCATTCCCTCTTCCCAATCTCCAGAAAAAAACTACACAGCTTCACAGCTCAGCTCAATTCCATTGCAGCCATGAAATTTCTCCTGATTTTCCACAGAGAACAGAGTACTCACCACCTTCTCCATAGCTCCCACAGCACTGACTCTGCCTCACTAATTTCCCTAGGTGTTCCCCGTTTCAGCAACTTCAGGAGTCATGGCTGATTCATCTGTGTGCAGCTGAGTGAATAAATTCACCATGAAATTTCTAGTGGCCAGAGCCTTTATTCTGCCCTTTTCTTCCAAATCTTGTCAGGTTCTTAATCTACATGCAGAGAGTTTTCTACCAGAGGGAGAGGTTAAGTGTACAGCCCCATAATCAGTTTTGAAAATGCCATTTGAGTCAAGCCAGGCTTTCCAGTCTACAAGTAAGGGATGGTAGAGAAGAGCAAAGGAGAACCCAGGGGACAGCCTCTAGCAGTAGTTACTCCTATTAGCAGTTTCTGCCAGCAAAGCCATTCCTGCCCCTCCCTTCCTAAACCTTCCCCAAAGGGTCCAGGTGCTCTTATTCCAGTTTAGGGCCAGAAGACATGCTAGCTGGATTCTAAGGCAGCTAACGTCTGGCACACCTTGGCTAGTGGGGAACTCTTACTACACACCCCTATCCACCAGCTTTGAGACAGAGCTAGGGATCCCAAGGCTGGATGGGCTGCTGGTCTCCCTCAAGGCCACCAGAGGGCAGTGCAAAAACCCAGAGATGTAAGGATAGCAGGATTTCAGTCCTGCTCCTAAGTAGGGAGGCTTGGGGTCTAGGTCCTTAGAGTCACCTTAGGCTTTTAAGGCAGTAAATCAGCCCTGACTGGTATGGCTCAGTGGATAGAGCATCGGCCTGCAGACTGAAGGGTCCCAGGTTCGATTCCCATCAAGGGCATGTACCTTGGTTGCGGGCACATCCCCAGTAGGGGGTGTGCAGGAGGCAGCTGATCGATGTTTCTCTCTCATCAATGTTTCTACCTCTCTATCCCTCTCTTTCCCCCTTCCTCTCTGTAAAAAAATCAATAAAATAAAAATAAATAAATAAATAAAAAAGGCAGTAAATCTAACCAGGGACTACACCAGAGTCTCCCACCCTAGAACACATTGGTTCAGGCAGCTGGAGTAGGGGCAAGGGACCAGGCATTTTGAAAAACTTTCTCTTGGAATTCCAATGTGCACACTACTGAGGGCCACTGTTCCCTAATCTGGGAATGGCTAAGCGCTCAACATGCTCCCCAGCCTTGCTCCCTCAGCCATCAGCTTGGGATAGTCTCCATCAGTGGAGGCAGCATCAGCAGCCAGCAAGAGTAAAAACTGAAGTTGGAAGACAGCACAAGGATGTGGGTGAGGAAAGGTGAAGGAAGTCTGGAAACTGTAATGTACTCAGAGGCAGGAGCAACCATGGGAGGATGGGGCTCAGCTCAAGGAAAGAGGCCTGGCCCGTCATTTGGGGCTTGTATTTACGCTTTTCTGGGCCTCAGTTTCTCATTTGGAAATGAGATTCAGAATACTTCAATGCCCCATAATATATATAAAAATGTAAGGTGCTATACAGATATAGTCATTATAAAGAAACTGAGCGGGTTTTCAACTAATTGGAAACTCAGCTAGGCTTGCTCCACCGGAGAAACCAAGTACAGACCCAACAATCACGTGACACAAACATCAATGGTGGACTAACACCACACAGGTGGAGCTGAACCCAAAGGTCTAGTATTCTGGTTCCCTAAATGCCACTGGTGACAGAAAGGCAGAGAAGACTGGGCCAGATGCTTACCTGTCTCCCGGCTCTCCAGGACAAAGTGGCTGTACTGGCTGCCATCAGTCTGCAGTTCATCGTCATGGTTTTCCCATAGACAAGCTGGCACAGATAGGTCATGGCCCAACACCTGCAGCTCTTTGTGGAAATTGTAGTTGGAGCAGTTTTGAAGGAAGCCAAACACCAGCAAGTCTGTAATACGTTCATCCTGGAGGCCTGAACCATTGCTGCCCTAAGATGAAAGGGGGTCAGGAAGGCTGAGCTGGCAGAAGGGCTCTGGGTACAGTGGGGCCCCAAATAGCCTCACTAGCCCAAGAGACATGAATAACCCTGTGGGCACAATAGTCCCACAAGAGATCTCAGTGGGCAGAGACCAAGTCTGCAACACCTGTGTGTAGATGCCAAAGAGAAGGCTCCAATTCTGCACAAGTTGGTTATCTACCATTTAGCTGACATCCTGACAATATCTAGCTGGGGCAAGTTTGCTTTTGGGGTAGGAAGCCCAAAGGCTGTATTAGGAAGTCAAGTAAATATCATCATGTAGAAAACATCCTTGCTTTTGCCAAGCCCCATGTGTCTTTTACCAAACTGAGCCCAGCCTTAATGGCATGCATCCAGCAGTTAGAAGCTCATTCTTCTCCATAATGTCCTTTATGGGCCCAGTATGGTATTGTGCAAACAGCAGATTTTCAATAAATACTGGTAGTAGTAACCAGATACCCTATCCCCTTGAGCAGGCTTGGAGGGATGTGCCTCTTAACCAAAACCCACAGAGAACACAGCTCCTGCTCCAACCCAGAGGGGCTGGTGATGGTGGCCCAGCGGCTCTCCATCCGTGAACAGTACTACAGCAGTAGCTCAGTTCAGCCTCTGTCCTATGGGAGACAGCGTGGATATCTCTGGTGTGCTGACTGCATTTGGGGCAGTGCTCTTGACAAACACAGGTGAGCACTTGTGGGATCAGCAGTCAGGTGTGCTCAGAAAAATCAAAGATCTAGGATGAAAGAGGGAATAATCTGGAAGGCCAGGGATCCAAAGATCTGCCCAGATAAATGCAAAACTAACATGTTGGATGGTATGAGGTCAGTAGAAAATGAAGGTGCAGGTAAAATTTATTTCTATCTTCTAAGTCCTTAGTAGTTTTCTTTTTTAAAAAATATGTTCTTATTGATTTTTAGAGAGAAAAGGAGGAGAGAGAGAGAGAAAAAAAATAAATGTAAGAGAGAAACATTGATCAGCTGCCTCCTGCACGCCCCCTACTGGGGATCAAGCCCTCAACCTGAGCATGTTCTCTGATCAGGAATGGAACCTGCGACCTTTTGGTGCATGGGACAATGCTCAACCAACTGAGCCACACCAACCGGGGCAGTCCTTAATATTTTTCATTAGAAAATTCAGAAAACATTTAAAGGACAGTTTTTAGGAGGCAAATAGTTTTCAATAAAATGCATAAAATAAAATGCTTATATATTGTTATTCAGCCTTTAGTTCTCCAAAATTATTCTAAAAAAATGGGGAGCCCAGTTGGCATAGCTCAGTGGTTGAATGTTGACCTATGAACCAGGAGGTCACGGTTTGATTCAGGTCAGGGCACATGGTCCGGATTGTGAGCTCGATCCCCAGTAGGGGACATGCAGGAGGCAGCTGCCCAATGATTCTTTCTCACCATTGATGTTTCTATCTCTCTCTCCCTCTCCCTTCCTCTCTGAAATCAATAAAGATATCTTTAAAAAGGGGGGTGATTATGTTATACAAAAGCTCTACTGTCAAGCCCCGGCCAGTTTGGCTCAGTGGTTAAAGTGTCAGCCCACGGTTTGATTATCATGGTTGCAGGTTAGATTGCAGGTTTGATTCCCAGCTGTGTGGAAGGCAGCCAGACCATGTGTCTCTCATGTCAGTGTTTCTCTCTCTCTCTCTCTCTCTCCTCTCTCTCTCTCTCCTCTCTCCTCTCTCCTCTCTCCTCTCTCCCTCTCCCCTCTCCCCTCTCCCCTCTCCCCTCTCCCCTCTCCCCTCTCCCCTCTCCCCTCTCCCCTCTCCCCTCTCCCCTCTCCCCTCTCCCCTCTCCCCTCTCCCCTCTCCCCTCTCCCCTCTCCCCTCTCCCCTCTCCCCTCTCTCTCTCTCTCTCTCTCTCTCTCTCTCTCTCTTCCCTCCCTCCCTTCCACTCTGTCTGAAAATCAATGGAAAAAATATCCTCAGGTCAGGATTAACAAAAAAACCTTGCCCTGGCTGGTTTGGCTCAATGGATAGAACATCGGCCTATGGGCTGAAGGGTCCTGGGTTCGATTCCAGTCAAGGGCACATGCGGTCGCAGCTTGGTCCCCAGTGGGGGGCATGCAGGAGGCAGCCGATCAGTGATTCTCTCTCATCATTAATGTTTCTATCTCTTCCTCTCCTTTCCTCTCTAAAATCAATAAAAATATATTTTTAAAAAAGCTCTACTGTCAATGATTGTAGTGAGGCCAGGAGGAGCTTAGAAAGTCAAGGACAGGCTTCACTCCCACCTCATGGTGATGTCTTGGTTACAGAGAAGACTGGGGCAGTGTTGTGGGGTGAACTGTGCTCCCCAAAAGGAAACGTTTAAGTGCTAAGCACAAGTACCTGTGAATGTGACCTTATTTGGAAATCAAGTTAACATCAGATCATCCTGGATTAGGACAGGCCCTAATCCAATGACTGATGTCTTTATGAGAGAAGGAGACAGAGTTTTGTATAGAGACACACAGGGACAATGGCATGTGAAGACAGACTGAAAGTGGAGTGATGTGCTTAACAACCAAGGAGTATCAAGCACTGCTGGTAGTCACCAGAAGCAGGGAAAGAGGCATGGGACAGATTCTGCATCAGAGCCCCACAAGGAACCAACGTTGCTGACACCTTGATTTCAGACTTCTAGCCTCCTGAACTGTGAGAGAAAACACTCCGCTTGTGGTACTTTGTTTCAAAAGCCCCAGAAAACTAATACAGGCAGTTTTTGCCCGAGGACTTCCTTTCGATCTAGAGGTTGATAAATAGGTGTCCAAAGTCTGGATGCAGAGCAGTTGTTGCTACCCACTATGCCAGATCAGCTTATCAAATATAACTTCAGTAATCTTGGCCTTTGCCATGGAAAATTAAAAGAATAGAATTGACAGGGAGGGGAAGGAAAGGATGTCCAGAAGCCAAGAGTGACCCATGCAGCCAAATGTTGAGCACCAGGCTGGCTGGGAAGCAGCATGAGCAGACTCCATTCTAATAAATAGGCTGGACTGTTCCACAGAATAGGCAGTAGGCTCAGAAGACTGACAGTATTGAACTCTAAGAACAAATAAGAGCTGGTGATAGTATGACCTTTTTTGATCCAGTAATGAAAGTTAAAATGGGTATCTCAAAAAGATAAAAGATTTGATAATAGTTAATCATTTAGGTCATAGGAAAAAAATTTTTAAGAGAAATGGTCAAAACTTAGAAGTCTTGCTGGAAATACTACAAACTTCATCTAAAGGAGGCATGCTATAAAATCAGTTATGTGCAGAGAAAAAGATGGAAAGCTATCCAGCGTGTTTGATAAATTTGCATAATCCTGGTTCCCAAACCTGGTGAAAAGAGCAGCAAATAAACAGAAAAAAAGAAAAAATCCCACAAAACCAATCTTACTTACTTTCTATAAAAATCAAAGAAGAATGCTACAAGATGGATGAACCATACAAGTAGTAAAAAAATAAAAATACAAACCCAAGATATTATGGTAACTGAAATAATCCAGACACCAAAGGACAAATACTATGTGACTTTACTTCTATGAGGTACTGGAATTCATCTAATTCAGAGAAACAGAAAGGAGAGTGGGGCTGGGGTGATGGGAAGTGCATGTTTAATGGGGACAGAGTTTCAAATGGAGAAGATGGAACTTCTGTGGATGGTAGTGGTAATGGTGGCACAGCAATGTGAATGTACTTAATGCCACTAAACAGACACTTAAAATGGTTAAAATGATAAATTTTATAGTACGTATGTTTTACCACAATCTTTAACATTTTACCACACTTTAAAAACACTGAGACAAAATAATTGAAGAAAAAAGTAAGAAAAATCTATGACAGGAATAAAATTCTGATGGTGGGGGAAGAGGCCAAACCCTGACATATCAGCAGAAATTGATCTCTGTTTCACTGTGAACCCTGATTCTGTGGGACACTGGGCACTTGTGTCTGTTTCTCACCTTGCAGGGGAAAAAAAGAACATGAGAAAGAATTTGAGAGTAATTATATCCACCTTCCTAAACTGAAGGGATGTCAGGAGAAATAGGATGCTGTGGGAGACAGCACTCCTAAAGTTGACGAGCTACTCAAGCATAAGGAGGCAGTGTGGTTCTAACCCAAAGACAGCTCAAAAATACAGAAGAGAGGACAGAGTTGCAAGCTGTAAGAGGCAACAATGGGTAGGTTTAAAGGACCAGAATAGAAGTGTTTAGGTCTTTGAATAGGCCTTTTTCTGCACAGAGAGCTCTCTTCTGTTCAAGCAACTAATGTCTCTGCTAAGCTTGGGATGTCTCTGGCCCTCCAGCTACCAAGCAGTTCCCATGCTTTAGAAGGCTGTTCAACAGTACTTACTGCAAACCTGGGTGCCAGGTGCTGCTCGGGTTCAGAACCTGTGGGCCACTGAGTTCATTAACCACAAACCTTTTTACAAATCCCTTCCTCAGTGGGCAGTGGGAGCAGCAGAAGGCTGGGGTGTGCACACCAGCCAGCCCTGGTGCTGGTGGCCTTGAAAACATTATAGAATTTGGCAAAGAAAGGAAATAGAAAGACTTATAGTAAGTAGATGAATAAAGAACAATTGATTGAATATGCCGTGATTTTCTCTTCTAAGCTCATTCAAAAGTATAGACAAGGCACAGTTTAAGTACCATCCTATTGAAGGCAGGGGGAATAGCCTATACGACCTCTGGTCTCTTCCAATAACTCTATAGCTTTTATTCTGTGTGTGTGTGTGTGTGTGTGTGTGTGTGTATTTTTATATGATTTATTTTTTAAAATTTATATTTAATGTTCAAAGTATTACATATGTCCCCAAAACTGTATACCTTTTATACACACACACACACACACACACACACACACACACATATATATATATATATATATATATATATATATATATATATATATATGTTTTCTTATTGATTTCAGAGAGGAAAGGAGAAGGAGAGAGATAGAAACATCAATGATGAGAGAGAATCATTAGTTGGCTGCCTCCTACACTCCCCACACTGAGGATTGAGCCCGAAACCCAGGTATGTGCCCTGACCAGGAATTGAACCTATAAATCTGCTTCATAGGTCAATGCTCAACCAGTGAGCCACATTGGTCAGGCACTCTATAGCTTTTAAATGGTCTCAAATCAGAAAGCCTCCTTGACCCTGGCCAAGTAGCTCAGTTGGTTAAGCATCATCCTGATTCACCATGGTTGTGGGTTCAATCCCCAGTTAGAACACATAAAATAAGCAACCAAGAATGCATAAATAAGTGTAACAACAAATTGATGTTTGTCTCTCTCTTTTCCCCCTTCATCTCTCTCCCTCTCTCTAAAGTCAATCAATCAATCAATCAATCAAAATTTAAAAAATAAAGAAAAAGAAAAAGGAAAGCTTCCTTGAAGCAAGACAGAAGGTATAGGAGGAGGGCTGAAGAGCAGAAGGGAAAAGGAGGAAAGCAGGAGAGGACAGAGGTGAGAGGGGCTTTCTCTCCTCTGTTTACGGCACCTGTGGACGAAAGGGGCCATATGCTAAGCTGACTAGTTCAGGGAAGGCCTGCATGGCGGTTGTACAAACTCAAAGACCTAAAATAACCACAAAAGATGGTCTGAAAATTAAATATTTAACTACAAACAGGTTATGGTGGGTAGTCATGTCCTAGGCCAGTATTTTCCCTGACAAAGATCAACTTAGATCTTTACTGAGCCCATTGTCTTTTTGCCTCTAAGATAACATACCTGTGAAATGTCTGGGTAACTTGTAACTTCCCTTTTTTCTGGATCCCTCAGGGCACAACAAATGGCACCAGGACATTCCCTCATTGTTATTGTTATCAAGTTAATTGTCAACTGTTAATTATGTTAAGCTATCCTGTACCCATGTGTGTAAAAGAAGCACATGTCCATCATTTCACTTTTTACCCTATCCCAGAGGTCTCCCCGCTTTGGTTTATCCCACCTCCTTAATCTATCACCAATGAATTTCATGTAACCCATCTACGTCCCTTTCCTTTGATTGTAATGTATAAATACAGATGTAAGCTGCCATTCTCTGAAGCATTATCAAAATTCGTTGAGGTTCTGCTTCCTGGCATATGTCAACAGTTTGGCTCAAATAAACTCACAAAAATTCTTCACAGGTTTCAGTGGTTTTTGACTTTAACACACCCGAGTCGGCTGGAAATGCGAGGCCCCTTCTACGGGGCTGTCACATAGGTCGGGCTGGTCTTAAGCATAAAGAACAAGCTGGTTTCAGCTGCCCTTGCTCCCCAAATCCCTCCTCCAGAAGCATCTGACCTTGGGATCCATGGCACAGGCAGCTGGAGGCTTGACTGGATTCCGGCTCATAGGTGTCCAAGGCAGCAGACTGGAAGGGGACACACAGACATACAGGGTGGGTGCTGGGTCCCTGTAGGGATACCCCTCTGGGATCCTCCTGAAGGAATCAAGAATGCTGTCCTGAGCCCTGGCTCTGAGGCACTTCAGCCCCACAATGGGCTCCCCTCGCCATCCCACCAGCTGGCCTTGGATGGCCACTTACCTCCTTGCACAGAAATTAAGCAGCAGCCCAGTGAGTGGACTCTGGAGCTCTCCTCAGTAGAAGCTTGCCAAGATGCTGAGGGCATCCCAGGCTCCACCCTCCAGCCTCAGGGCCCACTCTTCCACCCAGCTCATGATGCTAAGACCTCACCAAGCAAGCAAGGAGGGCAGTCTGATTATGAATACTATTTAAGTAAATACTTATATTAGTGAGTTTCCTACAAGAATAAACTTAGCTAATAAAGCATCATACCTAGAAGTTTTCAGGCAATCCATTTTATTATTACACTAATAGGGCAACTACAACAACTATTCCTTCTAACAACAAAAGTGAAAGGAGTTTTAGGGATAAAAATAGGCAGGTTTAGGGAGTTTAGGAAAAAAGAGGGTCCATGGGGGAGGAATGCATATGAGGGCTTGAAGCCGCCAGAAGGCACACATTCACAGAGAGAGAGGGAAAAAAAGCATAAGGGGAGAGGAAGCCATCCATTCACAGAAGATAAGGAAAAGCCACAGGGTATGAGAGAAAGAGGAAGACATCCCTTCACAGGAGATAGAGAAATGTTACAAGATAAGGGGGAGAGAAAGGGGAGGCACTACGTGGGGTTTGGGCTTTGAAGCTACAAAGAGTGACCAATTGGAAGGCAGCATCAAGAGACAAAGAACTGCAGCCTTTATAAACCTTAGCAAAAAAGAGCTTAGTGGGTTACCCCCTTGGGACCCCCTTCCTACATGGGAGTCTGTATTTGCTTCCAATAAATTTCCACCCTTTCATCTACCACCTTTTGTCCATGGCTTAATTCTTCAAATCCATCTAGACAAGGACCTGGGAAAGAAATCACCCTTGCATCCTGCTCAGGAAAACAACCCAAATCAAAAGCACCAACCCGTCCCCTCAGCATACTAGTACAACAGCTCTTGGCGCTCCACATTACCATCACTTTGTTCCACACAGCATGCTGAGAAGCAGGCAGTGTACAGTGCTGATGTTGACTTAGTAGATGAGGAGATAAGGTAATTTGTTCATATAGAAAGAGTTCCTGTAAAATGTTTATAACAAAAGAGAGAGGATGCATAGTTGATAATTACACACAAGATTAAAGTTCCATATGGCATATATTCCAACTAAATAAACCATCACAAACAACTGACCAGACAAAAGTCAACTGAAGATTGAATTTAAAAGATTATATCCATAAAATGGGATATATATATATAACCATGAAAAAGAACAAGAGATCTGTGAGTGCATCCATATAGAGATGTCCAAACAAACTGAACAAAGTGAGTAGACTCTGGTGCTCTCCTTAGCACAGAGACTACCCAGGTGCTGAGAGCATCCCAGGCTCCACCCTCCAGCCTCAGGGTCCACTCATTTTAATCCTATTTTAAAATGCATTTGCCTGTGTGTGTGTATTCACACAAAATATTAGGTGGCACCAAATGAAAAGATCATTGTGTAGGGCAAAACCTGTCAACTCTGGCAAATTATTGTGGCTCCTAAACACTCAGGCCGTAAAAAACAAAGACAACCACTTGTCTTCAGTAAAAAAGAGCAAGACTCTATTGCCTACCACACGCACCTAACCAAGCACCAGGCAAACCTCAAGGTCACTCAACATTACACCCCATCCATCCCCAGCCCACCACTTAATCACCTATCTGACTTTGAGTGTGGCACTCATTTTGAGCTTGTTTAATGCAGGCATTGTGTTTGGGGCTAGAAGAACAATGGTATAAATGACCCACAGGTCCCTGCCCCATTGAAGCTTATTTACCAACAACAACAACAAAGAATTATAAATACAAACACTATTTTTAAAAGTGTGTGCTGTTATAAGAACCCAATCATTAATGTAGCCATCAAAATTCACAGTGCCTATGAGAGTGGGGAAGGACATGTAATGAGAATAGAGCCACAGTTGTCTAATAATTATTCACCTCACTAACTATGGATAAAACGTTTTCTTATAGACCCTGGGAAACTGGAGGATGCAACAAGACTGTAAAAAGATAAGATGCCTCAATGGGTCCATTACTCAGAAAAGAAATACGTTTTTTTAAAAATACTAGTATATCTTTATTGATTTCAGAGAGGAAGGGAGAGGGAAAGAGAGATAGAAACACCAATGATGAGAGAAAATCATTGATTGGCTGCCTACTGCACATCCCCTACTGAGGATCAAGCTCACAACCGAGACATATGCCCTTGACCAGAATCAAACCTGGGGCCCTTTAGTATGCAGGCCGACACTCTATCCACTGAGCCAAACCAGCTAAGTAAAGAAATACATTTTGAGAACAGACCAAGGACAGGGAACGCTTTGATTTGGTTGCTGCACCTGGACCCTGACCCTCTCTGGGAGTTTTTCTCAGGAACACTGACCATGCTCCAGTCCCAGGAATGGCCTGAGCTGTTTGTAACATCATAGAAGATTAGCCACCTGGTTATCAGACTTTGAGCTCCTGAAGGCTGGGCTGCAGACTCTACCCTCCCCTTTCTATGTTACACTTGTAGCTCGCAGCTGCATGTAACTATCTTCTCCCTCTTGTGTATATAACCAGACAACTGGCAAGGGGAGTCAGAGCAGATTTTTGTGGATGACCTGCTCCTCTCCCATACTGCCCACATTATTGGAATAAACGCTCATATATGATTCAACTCTGTCTCTGCTTAATTGGCTCAAGTGGTGACAGGCAGCACGGACCTCTTGGTTGTCTGGTTACTGGTTACACCTACTGCATGCCAGGAAAAGCTATCCTATCTAACAATAGAGAAACATGGTAATTAACCATAACTTCACTACCCTCCCCATTGGCTAATCAGCGAGATATGCAAATTAAATGCCAACCAAGATGGCAGCCGGCAGCCAGGCAGCTGAAGCAAATAGGAGGCTTGCTTGCTCCAGTGACGGAGGAAGCCAAGGTTTCCCACCTGCCGCTCCTGGCCTCTGAGCTTGCACTCTAAGAAACAATGTTGCAATTATAGAAGGTAAATAAACCCCAGAAACCTGCTTTCAGTTGGCTGGCCTCAGAGCTGGAGCTGAAACAGTGTTTCAATTATAGAATCCAAACAAACTCAGATACCTGCTTTCAGCAGCTGAGGTCTCAGAGCTGGAGCCAAGCCTCAGAGCTAAAGCGGGCTCTCAGTTCAAGTGACAGCCATAGAAGGTAAATAAATCCCAGAATAAAGAAAAAAAGGAGAGGTTGGGAGCTTCAGTCGCCCACCAGCCTGAAAACAGCCCTCAGCCCCTCACCCAGACTGGCCAGGCGCCCCAGTGGGGACCCCCACCCTGAAGGGGGTGTGACCAGCTGCAAACAGCCATCATCGCCTCATCCAGGCTGGCCAGGCACCCAAGCGGGACCCCCACCCTGATCCAGGACACCCTTCAGGGCAAACCAGCCGGCCCCGACCCATGCACCAGGCCTCTATCCTATATAGTAAAAGGGTAATATGCCTCCCAGCACCGGGATCAGTGGAGCCACGAGGCCTCATGCCCCGGGATCAGCAGAGCCGTGAGACCTCCCAGCCTGGGATCAGCAGAGCCTCCCAGCACTGGGATCAGTGGAGCCGCGAGGCCTCCCAGCACTGGGATCAGCAGAGCCGCGAGGCCTCCTGGCCCCTGGAGCAGCGTAACAGGGGGCAGCGCCCAAACCCCCTGATCACCCTGTGGCTCTGTGTGTGACAGGGCGCGGGGCCACAAACCCCTGATCCGCCCTGCTCTGTGTGTGACAGGGGGTGGTGCCCAAACTCCCCTATTGGCCCTACTCTGTGCCTGATAGGGGGGAGCTCCCCAACCCCCTGATCGGCCCTGCTCTGTGCATGACACGGGGAGCACCCCAACTCCCCTATCGGCCCTACTCTGTGTGTGACAGGGGGGAGCTCCCCAACCCCCTGATGGGCCCTGCTCTGTGCGTGACAGGGGGGAGCTCCCCAACCCCCTGATTGGCCCTGCTCTGTGCTGACAAGGGGGAGCTCCCCAACCCCCTGATCGGCTCTGCTCTGTGCGTGACAGTGGGCAGCGCCCCAACCCCCTGATTGGCCCTGCTCTGTGCGTGACGGGGGTGGCACCGCAACCTCCCTATCAACCCTGCCTTGAGTGTGACAGGGGGCGGTGCCCCAACCCCCCAATCGGCCCTATCCTGAGCATGACTGGGAGTGGCATCGCAACCTCCCGATCCACCCTGCTCTGTGCATGACAGGGGGTGGTGTCCCAACTCCCCAATCAGCCCTGCTCTGAGCCCAACCAGGGGCTGCACCTAGGGATTGGGCCTGCCCTCTGCCACCTGGGAGCGGGCCTAAGCCAGCAGGTCTTTATCTCCCGAGGGGTCACAGACTGTGAGAGGGCACAAGTGGGCCTGAGGGACACCCGCCCCCGCCAGTGCACAAATTTTGTGCACCGGGCTCTAGTCCTATATAATATAGAGGAAAGTGTGCAAATTAACCCTCACGCCCTCAAAAGATGGCTGCATAGGACCAGGCTGGCAGGGGAGTTAGTGAGGGACAACCAAAAGACTGAATAGCAGGCTGCATGGGACGACCAGGCCAGCAGGAGGGTTAGTAAGGGACGATCAAATGACTGAACAGCAGGCTGTGTGGGGCAACCAGGTTGGCAGGGGAGTTAGTGAGGGGCGACCAGGCCAGCAAGGGGGGGAGCAGTTGGGGGCAACCAGGCTGGCGGGGGGTGGGCAGTAAGAGGTGACCAGGTCGACGGGGTGAGAGGGTGCAGTTGGGGGTGACCAAACTAGCCGGGGGCGGGGTGGGGGGCAGTTGGGGATGATTAGGTTGGCGGGGGGGGGAGTGAGGGGCGACTAGGCTGGCGGGGGCGGCGGTGGGCAGTTGGGGGTGGCCAGGCCGGCGGGGGGGTGTGGGGGGGCAGTTAGGGGAGATCAGGCAGACACGCAGAGGCAGTGAGGGGCGATCAGGCTGGCAGGCGGGGGCAGTTAGGGGTGATCAGGCAGGCAGGCAGGTGAGCAATTAGGAGCCAGCGGTCCAGGATTGTGAGGGATGTCCGACTGCCCTCACAGGGATCGGACCTAAACTGGCAGTCAGACATCCCCCGAGGGGTCCCAGATTGGAGAGGGTGTAAGCTGGGCTGAGGGGACCCCCCCCCCCTTGTGCATGAATTTCATGCACTGGGCCTCTAGTATATAATATATAGATATTTATATCTATTTTTATAGATATCTACAGTAATAAAAGAGAAACATGCAAATTAACCATCACTCTGCCACTCCACTACACCCACTAGCCAATCAGGAGCAAGAATGCAAATTAACCCAACTAAGATGATGGTGTCCACGGAGCTGGAGGAGCAGGAGGCTTGGGTTGCCCCTGGCAATGGAGGAAGCCAAGCTTCCCGCCTGCCCTGGCCAACCCTGGGCTCTGCTTAAGGCTATAAATTACAGATGATAAATAAATCCCAGATACCTGCTTCCACCTGCCCTGGCCTCCGCTCAAGGAGGTGCTGGGAAAAAAAAGATAAAAAGGAGAGGCTGGGAGCTTGGGTTGCCGGGGGGCATGGCCAGCCTGAAAACAGCCCTCAGCCCCTCACCCAGGCTGGCCAGGCACCCCAGCGGGACCCCCCACCCTGAAGGGGCTGTGGGCAGCTTGAAAACAGCCCTCAGCCCCTCACCCAGGCTGGCCAGGCACCCCAGCGGGACCCCCCACCCTGAAGGGGCTGTGGGCAGCTTGAAAACAGCCCTCAGCCCCTCACCCAGGCTGCCCAGGCACCCCAGTGGGACCCCCACCCTGATCCGGGACACCCTTCAGGGCAAACCAGCCGGCCCCCACCCATGTACCAGGCCTCTATCTATACTAGTAAAAGGGTAATATGCTAATTAGACTGGGAGACCTTCCAGGAGACCTTCCAGATGTTCTTCTGGACAAAGCCATGGTGGCGGGGCTGAGGTAGAGGCAGTTAGAGGCCAAGCAGGGAGGGCAGTTGTGAGTGATCAGGCTGATGGGGGGCGGGGCCGTTGGGGATAAGCAGACCAGAAGGGGGCACAGTTGGGGGCGAGCAGGCCAGTGGGGAGGCAA